TATTTTCAGACACGTGAGCTTCTCTTACGTAATTGGTTTTGCGTGTGCAGGATAAATCGGCGTTTAGTTTAAATCCTCTTTTTTACGGTGGATAAGTACCGGTCCAGGCTTGGTCAAGGAAATTAACACCAATGGCAAGTCGCCAAGCATCCTCTCTCTGCCTCGTACCTACTGTAAGTTAGATGCACGTTGAACTTCTTTTGCACCGTACGCAGCCAACCGTGCTAATCGGCGGTGCAATTAGCACGGAACCTCAGGCCCCCCTCCGAGACGCCGCAAGGATCTTTGTTTACTCGCCCAAGCGAGATCTCGGGATGGCGTGCTTGATTTTATAAATAAGCCGCGGGCTAAAAAAATCGAGTGTTTGAGACGTGCACTGATACTGGCGTTGTTATCATCGTCGATTAATAATAATAAAAAAAGCCGTGCCAGCTAACGTGAGACTGCAACTCCCGGACGCTGCCATGTTTCCGCAAGCTATTCAAATGAGTCTGGTGTGTTTCTAAATGTTGCGGACGCAAACAAACCCGCCGAAATGTCGATAATTCTGTAAGACGGTAATTGCAATCGAAATATCCGAGTGTGTTTTTTTATTTTATTTATTAAACTGTCTTTTCGTTGGCAAAGTGGGAGGTTGCCAATTCATCTCGGTGACATGTGAACAGTGTTGTATGAGTTGGGGGGTGGCGGGGTGGCGGGTCGCACGGTGCCAGCTATGGGTCACGCGCCACCAAAAATGTTCCACAGCCAAGATGTTGGGAACCACACGATGCCACGTCGTCGCAGCAGCGGCGGCTTTTGGCTACCCGTCGGACGAAGACGGTCTATCCGCGTCGCTCTTTCATGCGTGCTTCTGCGGCCGTTTGGAACGCTCTTCCTTCCGATATCGGGAACCCGCGGGAGCGATGCACTTTTGAATCGAGATTGAAAGCGCATTTTTTTAGAACTGTTTTTTTTTGTTGTTGTTTAGTTTTGTTGTCCTTCCCCCTTCACCTCCAATGATCACGGTTGGCTACGTGCGGTGGCAAAAATAAGTTCAACATACGTAACAACGATGGGATCCATTTAAATGCCCCTTTTTGCGTTTGTGCCTGGTTGGCAATGTCTTCTCTTCCAGTAAGAATTGTCAACAGTCTTCAGCCTTAAACAAAAAAAAACTGTCACATGACCCACAGCTTGGTCCATGAGAAGATTCACGAAGCTTTTGCATTCTGGATGGAAAAATAACACGTCGAAAGGACTTCATCAAAAAGCACAAAATTCCCAAGTTACCTTTTGAATCATCGGGTTCTATCAGCTGTGACGCATATTGCAAAAGAAACACCCCGTTGTACGATGTGCGTTGAACTTCTTTCGCACCGTACATAGCCAACCGCGATAATCGGAGGTGCGGGAGATGGACAACAAACTAAACACACGCAAAAATAAGTTCCAAATAAATTAATTGTATAAGCCGGTCTCCCTCTTTGCGAGCAAATGTGCATACGGCCCTGCGATGTGTTTCCGGGTTGTAGGAAAGTCGGAAAACCATGCCTGAACGACATTTGGCACAACCCGAAAACAACGATAGAGCAAAGACAAAGATTCCCCGTGTAGCCTGAACCGACTGTTGGGGCAAGTGCTGTTAGCGAGCGCCTGATTGTAGAGCACAACCCCGACCACAATGCACGTAATCCTCTGCGGCGAATGTATTTATGGATTAGCAAGACCATACTCTTTGGGTCTTTCGGTAAAAGTCACGTAGATAGAAGACCATGCCGTATTTTTTTTTTGCGCCGTGACCCTGTTTTGGAGTTCATGAATAAAGATGATTCGACCAAAGACTGCTTTTTTTTGGCGCCCGCGTTCTCAGTGATGTGTAATCGGAAAAGCGAAGAGGCAACCAGAGCTCACGGTGGTGGCGAACAAACAAACAAAATAAGCTGACATTTTTCGCTTATTTTAGCCACGAACCGTCAAAGAAAATGATCGGCTTGTATGGCGCGGGATCACAGTGCAAACAAACAACGCGTTGACAATAGAAAGGCTGCGGCTAAGCCTTTCGAAGAATAGCTTTACAACAGAGGTGTGCGCGCGCGTGTGCGCGTGTGTGCGTTTGTATATTTCGGTGGCTGCTTTATTCGTATGCATGTCCGTGGATACTGCCTGTCATCGTACTTGTACTGTACGTGCAAATGACAAAGCTGTATACGCACTGGACATATTGGCATACACTTATGTTGACGACAAAGATCCCCCAATGTAGCCTCCACAGGTCGTTACGGTGGTGAGACAGTGCTCTGTTAGCTAGCGCCTACCGAAGGCCAACATGGCACGGCAGGAGGTTGCGTGGTCAGCACCACGTCCGGCCGCCTTTGTCACCCCAGTGCTGATATTTGTTTTTATACCCCCGCACCAGGTATTCATTTGAGGCTGAGTCGACCCAGCGGAGACCCAGGACCGGTTCAGATAATCGCCAATGATGCGAGACTTGGCCATTAATCCAACTCAGTCCGCCAGTTCCTAAGTGCTGTGCGCTAATCAATGTACCACTGCTCCTCGCACGCACACATACCGAGACAAAGAGACAAAGATGTCCCCGTATGGCCTTTAACAGATTGTTAGGGCAAGTGCTGCAAGCGACCACCTACAGTGAGGGAAAAAAGTATTTGATCCCCTAATGATTTTGTACGTTTGCCCACTGACAAAGAAATGATCAGTCTATAATTTTAATGGTAGGTTAATTTGAATAGTGAGAGACAGAATAACAACAACAAAATCCAGAAAAACGCATGTCAAAAATGTTAAAAATTGATTTGCATTTTAATGAGGGAAATAAGTATTTAACCCCTCTGCAAAACATGACTTAGTACTTGGTGGCAAAACCATTGTTGGCAATCACAGAGGTCAGACGTTTCTTGTAGTTGGCCACCAGGTTAGCACACATCTCATGAGGGATTTTGTCCCACTCCTCTTTGTAGATCTTCTCCAAGTCATTAAGGTTTCGAGGCTGACGTTTGGCAACTCGAACCTTCAGCTCCCTCCACATATTTTCTATGGGATTAAGGTCTGGAGACTGGCTAGGCCACTCCAGGACCTTAATGTGCTTCTTCTTGAGCCACTCCTTTGTTGCCTCGGCCGTGTGTTTTGGGTCATTGTCATGCTGGAATACCCATCCACGACCCATTTTCAATGCCCTGGCTGAGGGAAGGAGGTTCTCACCCAAGGTTTGACGGTACATGGTCCCGTCCATCGTCCCTTTGATGCGGTGAAGTTGTCCTGTCCTCTTAGCAGAAAAACACCCCCAAAGCATGTTTCCACCTCCATGTTTGACGGTGGGGATGGTGTTCTTGGGGTCATAGGCAGCATTCCTCCTCCTCCAAACACGGCGAGTTGAGTTGATGCCAAAGAGCTCCATTTTGGTCTCATCTGACCACAACACTTTCACCCAGTTGTCCTCTGAATCATTCAGATGTTAATTGGCAAACTTCAGACGGGCATGTATATGTGCTTTCTTGAGCAGGGGGACCTTGCGGGTGCAGCAGGATTTCAGTCCTTCACGGCGTAGTGTGTTACCAATTGTTTTCTTGGTGACTATGGTCCCAGCTGCCTTGAGATCATTGACAAGATCCTCCCGTGTAGTTCTGGGCTGATTCCTCACCGTTCTCATGATCATTGCAACTCCACGAGGTGAGATCTTGCATGGAGCCCCAGGCCGAGGGAGATTGACAGTTCTTTTGTGTTTCTTCCATTTGCGAATAATCGCACCAACTGTTGTCACCTTCTCACCAAGCTGCTTGGCAATGGTCTTGTAGCCCTTTCCAGCCTTGTGTAGGTCTACAATCTTGTCCCTGACATCCTTGGAGAGCTCTTTGGTCTTGTCTTTGGTGGAGAGTTTGGAATCTGATTGATTGATTGCTTCTGTGGATAGGTGTCTTTTATACAGGTAACAAGCTGAGATTAGGAGCACTCCCTTTAAGAGTGTGCTCCTAATCTCAGCTCGTTACCTGTATAAAAGACACCTGGGAGCCAAAAATCTTTACGATTGAGATTGGGTCAAGTATTTTTTTCCCTCATTAAAATGCACATCAATTTATAACATTTTTGACATGCGTTTTTCTGGATTTTGTTATTGCTATTCTGTCTCTCACTGTTCAAATAAACCTACCATTAAAATTATAGACTGATAATTTATTTGTCAGTGGGCAAACGTACAAAATCAGCAGGGGATCAAATACTTTTTTCCCTCACTTTTTTTAAGGCCTGCACGGTACACGAGGTGGTGGTTCGTCGACAATATGCATGGCTGACTTTATCTCCCCGAGTGCTGATGTTTGTGCACTCATTTAAGGCTGAGTCGACCTAGGGGAGGTCCAGGACCATTGAAAAATTTTCTCCAGTTACTGCTCGTGAGCAGGAATCAAACTCCCATCGCCGGGATCGTGGCACAGTGCGCAAACCACGGTACTGCTGCTCCCCATACACGCACGCGTACACACCTGTAGTCACAAACGCACGTGCGCACACCTGTAGTTACAGATGCACGCGCGCTCACCTGTAGTCACAAACGCATGCACACCTGTAGTCACAAACGCGTGCACACCTGTAGTGACAAACGCACGCGCGCACACCTGTAGTGACAAACGCACGCGCGCACACCTGTAGTGACAAACGCACGCGCGCACACCTGTAATGACAAACGCACGCGCGCACACCTGTAGTTACAAACGCACGCGCGCACACCTGTAATCACAAACGCACGCGCGCACACCTGTAGTCACAAACGCACGCGTGCACACCTGTAGTCACAAACGCACGCGTGCACACCTGTAATCACAAACGCACGCGCGTACACCTGTAGTCACAAACGCACGTGCGCACACCTGTAGTGACAAACGCACGCGTGCACACCTGTAATCACAAACGCACGCGCGCACACCTGCAGTCACAAACGCACGCGCGCGCACAGTCGTAGAAAACCCACAGCTCACGCGTGAATTTCTCACACGCAGCAAATTCAATCTGATGCAAAACCCCGTGAGTTTATTCGCCTTCCGCTTTCCCTGCACGTGCCACGCACACGCTTGTCGTCCCGACACGTACGCTTCCACGCACCGAAGGCCAGATTCACATGGCTACTGCTCCTTGCATTATGCATCCATAAAACCTGGACCCCCCCCCCCCATCAGCAGTCCAAGGAGGGGGGATATAATGGCTGCAGGGCGAGGCCTATCATCCCCGAATATATTCTTTTCAACGACGTATCCCAACAACACACAAACAATCGTTTTGCCGGTGTCCATCTCCGTGCGGTGGCACCGAGCCAGCGGAGGAGAGTCTTCTCCGTCCAACTCCTCGCCGTTACAAATTTTCCACCAAGTGGCACTGCATTGTGAAAAGACCCCCCCAGGAGAGACGATGTGGTTGAGTCATTATCCCGAGTGGGGACTTTGAACTCTCGAACCGTGAGTAAGGAGCGTTCTGCCACCGTCCCGCCCGGCCAGACAAACGTGAAATTAGGTTGCTGTGTGCATGGTCGAAGGGTTATCCCCATTCTCATCCGGCAGCTCAAAGTTTCGACTCGGCTAGCGGGGCGGTGGGTGGTGGCTGCAGATTACTCACGTAGTCATCATCCGTCACGGCGGACCCGATATAATCCCAAAGAACAGCTTCCTTTCCCTTCGACCCCATCCCCCCACTCCGCCACCCACACAGCATCGCCACAACCGGGTAGGGAATGCCCCCCGTTTATGCCAATGCGTGCCGAGGCGGCTCGGCTCGCGTGTGTCGTCGCTCAATTAGAAGCCAACCTTGGCACGCACCACGCTCGGCGAGGGACGGCGTCCCTTCTCATCCTACTCCACTTCCTCCTCCTCCACAGCGGCAGCTGTTCAGGGGCAATGACCCGGGCGCCAATGCACAGTCGACACAGCGGCTCGCAAAGCAGCACGGAGCGCCACTCATGCATCCGTTGGCAAGCTTGGAGATGAGACGAGCGCGTAACGGGAGGGGGACGGGGAGGGGAAGGAGGCGATGCGGTGCGGGTTCAGGGCCGTCAGTGGTTGCCCCGTGAGCGACACTCGTTTACTTGTACACTGAACAACACAACGTAAGCATGGGTGCGGCAGTGGCTGTTGTTATTATTGAGGCTTTGTCATAAAGCCAACGTCCGACTTGTCTAAAATGCTGAATGGATAGAATCGAATACATATGTTTAATGTAAATGCGAATAGACGTTATGTAAATATGCTACGTTTTTTTACTACAGCTGTTACAACGTGCTTAATCAAGTAGGTTTCTTACACGAGAGACATAAACAGCACAGACACTGCATCACCGAGTGACATAAAATATGTAGTGCATGTATTATATGATGATAATTTCGTTTTGTATACACATCACAAAGGGAACACATGAGCAGGTTAAATTATATATCGAAACATTAACGTGTTATAAAATTGTGCAATAAGCTTTACAGCTTCAATAAATGTGTGCTATTTTGTTGCCTTTAATAATAATATAGAATTATGTATATATAGGTAGCCCTGTTTATATTATTGTCACACATGCTAGGGCGAATCAGTAATCAAAGGTCTTTCATTGTAGGCACGGTATTCATGTATGGCATCAAAAAAGCCACTCTGTTACCCTGAAAAATATGCACATTCATCAATGTGAAATTATTTTCGTTCACACTCTCTTTCCCTCCCTCCCTCCCTCTCCAATTTTCTTGCCGACGGTGACCGAAATGCACGCTCGCTCTGCGTGGTAAAACTTTGTGCTGTTCGGGATGCCGTCGGTGTGGGCTCGCCGTACGTGAAGGGGGCCGAGAGTTCCGATGTCCCGGAGGGACGGGGAGGTGGGTGGGTGGTGGGGGAGGAGGAGGAGCGATGAAAGCAGCACCGGTGGCAAATACCTCGCGGGTCGACGGTGCAGTAAATCCCGAAGATTGTGTCGGGACCCGAAACCAACCATCAGCGGAGTGTGGATTCGAAACCACCGAAGTCCCGTTGCTGTTCGCGGTGTTTCTGTTTCCCCCCCCCCCCCACCCATGTTGGCGTTTCGCGGCGGGCTCGCGTTGAGTCGCAATTAAAACGGCAACAACAATAACAACAACAAAAAACAGCCAATGCCTCGTACTGCAGCTCAAGGGGAGATTTCGGCTCGAGAAGTCGGAGGAGCGCCAGCGCCGCCAACGCTCTCACAAGCCGCCAACTTCCCACGTCTCCCGTCGCCCGGCTTCTGCCCGCCCCGTGCTCTCCATCTCCGTCCGCCCGTGGCGATACCGCCAGCGCTCACGCGGGTTAGCAAAGCAGCAGCAGCAGCACAGCCGCCGCCTCCCCCGCCTCCTTCCCGTACCCGCGCCAGCGCCTATCCGTTCATCTTGCGCAGCTTGGCCGGCAGGATCTCCTCCGGAGCTCGGAAACTGATGCACGTGTTCATCCGCTGCAGCTTGGCCGGCAACTCCGACCTGCCGCCCACCGCCGGGCTCCTCTGCACGCCCGCGTCCGAGTTCATCTTGAAGGTCCTGAGCGGGAAGCGCTCCTCGGGCTCCGAGCCCATGCGCTTCATCCTGAGCGGGATTTCGCTCATGCTGTCGCTGCCCAGGCCGAAGCCGATGCCGGCGCTCGACACCGTCTCGCTGATGGTGGAGCTCATGCGCAGCAGCCGCCTGCTCTGGACGTCGCCGCCTCCCGCGCTCATCCTCTGAAGCTTGGACGGCAGGCGCGCCGCGGCCGCCGGGGCCGCCGCCTCGCCGGGGCCGCCGTCTTGGCAGTCCAAGCCGCCCGAGTCTTTCCTGCGGCTCTCGGCGAGCAGGGCGCGCTGCGGCGACAGCGGCGACTGCAGCAGCGAGGTGGCCTCCTCCTGCTCCTTGATGCTCTGCGGCGCCGTGGGAACCTCGAAGGTGCTGTGGAACTGCGAGTAGTCGACGCGGAAGAAGCCGTCCTCGAGCGACATGACGGGCAGGAAGCGGTGGCCCCAGAGCACCTCGTCCTCCGTGTAGGAGGTGCGCGCCTGGCACGTCATGCCTGCGCGACAGCGGCTGCACGGCTTTAATTTGCACGCGGGAGGCACCCGAACTTCGCCGCGGCAAACCGCGAACGTCGATGCGCAGGAGAAGCCGGATGCGAGCACGAGCCGTCGCGAGCAAGTCCAGCTGCGTGCTTACGTAGAAAGTGTTTTGCTTTGATCGGGCATTGTTGCCCTTTGCATGCCCCACCACTGGTCCAATGTAAGGGGGTGCTGTTGCTTATATCCAGCTTCTACTGCATCTCACCTTTAGCTTCGACCGCATGCACGGGCAAGGCGAGTGACCGGAAGGCTTTACAAAAAGCAGTCGTGGTAGCTTTGACAGAGAAGCCGAATTCAGTGGGGGGTCGTGCTAGGAGTTCTTACAAGAAGATTTCAAGCAAACACATCATGGGACCTCCTTTGCCAGTACCAAAATATGATAATAGGCTTTCCCCCTTTTTTCTGACCAACAAAACAGGTGTTGAGATGTTAAAACACCAAACTGAAATCTTTTACAAGAATCATGTCTGCATTAACCACAATAATTGTGGTCAGAATGCAAAAAAGCCTTTTGGCATCCTCTAGTCTAACACCGTTTGAGACGAGGCTCAAAAGAAAGCTGTCTCTGATGTGGACCAATCAGTTTCAAGGACAATGCATATATTATCAGAGGTTATTTTTTGCATTCTGACCACAAGCATTTTGGTTAATGCAGACATGATTCCTTGTAAAAGGTTTCAGTTTGGTGTTTTAACATCTTAACACCTGTTTTGTTGCCAGAAAAAAAGAGGAAAAACCTATTATCATTACAAGAAAAGTTAGAATTAATTTATCGTAAGAAACAAATTCGGTTTCATGAAAGGGTGCGGGGCATGAGAAACGATGAGAATGCTTTGTGAACGGTGCATAGAACATGGCCAGGCGTTGTGTGTGTGTGTGCGTCGTAGACTATGAGAAGGTTGTCATTGACAGGTTTGCCGATTTTCAAGGGATGGTGGCAGGCACGTATGTATGTACAGTGAGGGAAAAAAAGTATTTGATCCCCTGCTGATTTTGTACGTTTGCCCACTGACAAAGAAATGATCAGTCTATAATTTTAATGGTAGGTTTATTTGAACAGTGAGAGACAGAATGACAACAACAAAATCCAGAAAAACGCATGTCAAAAATGTTATAAATTGATTTGCATTTTAATGTGGGAAATAATTATTTGACCCCCTCTCAATCAGAAAGATTTCTGGCTCACAGGTGTCTTTTATACAGGTAACGAGCTGAGATTAGGAGTACACTCTTAAAGGGAGTGCTCCTAATCTCAGCTTGTTACCTGTATAAAAGGACAGCTGTCCACAGAAGCAATCAATCAATCAGATCCTTAACTCTCCACCAAGGCCAAGACCAAGGAGCTCTCCAAGGATGTCAGGGACAAGATTGTAGACCTACACAAGGCTGTAATGGGCTACAAGACTATTGCCAAGCAGCTTGGTGAGAAGGTGACAACAGTTGGTGCGATTATTCGCAAATGGAAGAAACACAAAAGAACTGTCAATCTCCCTCGGCATGGGGGTCCATGCAAGATCTCACCTCGTGGAGTTGCAATGATCATGAGAACGGTGAGGAATCAGCCCAGAACTACACGGGAGGATCTTGTCAATGATCTCAAGGCAGCTGGGACCATAGTCACCAAGAAAACAATTGGTAACACACTACGCTGTGAAGGACTGAAATCCTGCAGCGCCCGCAAGGTCCCCCTGCTCAAGAAAGCACATATACATGCCCGTCTGAAGTTTGCCAATGAACATCTGAATGATTCAGAGGACAACTGGGTGAAAGTATTGTGGTCAGATGAGACCAAAATGGAGCTCTTTGGCATCAACTCAACTCGCCGTGTTTGTAGGAGGAGGAATGCTGACTATGCCCCAAGAACACCATCCCCACCGTCAAACATGGAGGTGGAAACATTATACTTTGGGGGTGTTGTTCTGCTAAGGGGACGGGACAACTTCACCGCATCAAAGGGACGATGGACGGGGCCATGTACCGTCAAATCTTGGGTGAGAACCTCCTTCCCTCAGCCAGGGCATTGAAAATTGGTCGTGGATGGGTATTCCAGCATGACAATGACCCAAAACACACGGCCAAGGCAACAAAGGAGTCGCTCAAGAAGAAGCACATTAAGGTCCTGGAGTGGCCTAGCCAGTCTCCAGACCTTAATCCCATAGAAAATTTGTGGGGGGAACTGAAGGTTCCAGTTGCCAAACGTCAGCCTCGAAACCTTAATGACTTGGAGAAGATCTGCAAAGAGGAGTGGGACAAAATCCCTCCTGAGATGTGAGCAAACCTGGTGGCCAACTACAAGAAACGTCTGACCTCTGTGATTGCCAACAAGGGTTTTGCCACCAAGTACTAAGTCATGTTTTTCAGAGGGGTCAAATACTTATTTCCCTCATTAAAATGCAAATCAATTATAACATTTTTGACACGCGTTTTTGTGGATTTTTTGTTGTCGTTATTCTGTCTCTCACTGTTCAAATAAACCTACCATTAAAATTATAGACTGATCATATCTTTGTCAATGGGCAAACGTACAAAATCAGCAGGGGATCAAATACTTTTTCCCCTCACTGTATGTGTGTTGATATTCTTTCGCACCATACATAACTAACCGTACTGATTGGCTGACGAGTGAGTTAATCAACACGGCAAAGCCAGATGGGTACAATGATCAATGTAGATAGGACAAAAGTTATGAGATTGTCGAGGAAAGTCTGAGGAATATTGAATGTCAAGATTGACGAACAATGGGTAGAACTGTTGAAGACATTGAGGATCCTGTGCGCATTGATCCGTGGAAGATGGATTGGCGTGTCACAGAAAATAAAGATTGGGGATTGACGGTGGAGGAAGAGGCATTCAGGAAGAAGAAAGAGTTGCTGACAAGAATGACGAGTGAAATGGTGAAGAAGGAGGAGACGATGAAGAAGGTGAAGAAGAAGATCAAGAAGAAGAAGAAGAAGACGAAGGAAAAAGAAAAAGAAGAAGAAGATGAAGAAGAAGATGAAGAAGGAGAAGATGAAAAAGGAGAAGAAGAATATGAAGAAGGAGAACATCAAGAAGAAGATGAAGAATAAGATGAAGAAGAAGATGAAAAAGGAGAAGGAGGATATGAAGAAGGAGAAGATCAAGAAGGATAAGATGAAGAAGGAGAAGGATTAGATGAAGAAGTGGTGTGGAAGTGTAGCTCTGCGCGGAGCGAAAAACGTGGTTACTGAGAAAAGACGCGGCGAGACTTTGGAAGCGTTAGGAGACGTGGATGTTGGATGAGGATGCAGAGAGTGAGGCTGGACAGAGAAGAAGACCAGTGAAGGGATATTGCAACGCACCAACGGAGGAGGAAGGAGAAAGGAAGTCACTGGAAGGAGTGAGAAGAACTGGATTGGACGCATTCCAAGAGGGGACGTTTAAATTAACAAAGGCACCACAGGAGGAAGTCGTGACTGGAAAAGAAGGCCAAGGATTACGATGTTGAAAGAGCCAAAAGGAATAAAAAATGTTTGAGGAAATGAGGAAGGCAGAGAACAGAGGAAGATGGGGAAGATTTTTTTTTTATTTATGCTTACGAGTTAAGGCCCAGTGAGCTATATAACTTTTTTTAGAAGCGACCTGGCCACAAATGATAGCCCAATGAAGTGGCTTATCACGTGGAAATTTATAGCAGACAATTACTCTGAATGCGTGATGTTGATTCTAAATGTGGAGGAAATATCCGGAACACCTGGAGAATAATCTGCGCCACCACAGGAGGAACATGCAAACTCCAAATATACAGCAGGCGTCAGGATCAAACCCAGGCAAGTTAGTTAACATCTCACCATCACAGCCAAGGTCCTGCCGTTACTGTTGCTCGTCATCTCGGAGAGGCACTTCGAGTGACAAGGCTAGTTTTTTTGTCACCAAGGTCAACGGGTAGCCAATTCCTTCCTGCGTGAATTATCTCGTGGGTTGAAACTGGATTTCTCAAGGGAGAAAACACACAAACATACAGACTAGTCTACAAGGTACTCGAGTACACCTCCCTGCTGATTGGGACTCTCACGCATGTGGAGGCCTTTTGCACAATACAAGAGCCCGCCACCTCTGAAGCGGCTGCATTACAGGTGGGCAGATGCCCATACTGGACATCTGTGGGGAAAAAAAGAAGAGCTTACCAGCTCATCGGATTCTTCCTGCAGCCGAAATAAAGATTCCGATTCTGGGAGCCGAAAACGCTTGGCAGGTCACACGAGAAGGACAAACCCGTGACTTAATGCTTTTGTGACTGCAGGAATTAATATTATTGGGTCTTTCGGTAAAGTCACGTAGATAGGTTCAAATAAAATTTCCGACGTGACTTTACCAAAAGACCCAAAAATAAGGACAAACCCGTTGTGTTTTGGGGGAGGGGGTCAGCGCACTTCTGGTCACAACGCTTCTCTATCTGCTTCTTTCCCTCGCACTGCTCCACTTGGGAATTTCCCCCCTCTCTTTTTCCACAAAGGTCTCGTAATGATCTTTGCTCACTTCGACAAATGCGTTACACATCGCTTATCCTCACCTTCAAATTAGCATGACGTACATATTTTACAAATTTTACGGTATTGTGTGTTGCTGGCCGCTTAATGTTGCATGCAGGAGATCGTGGATTCAATCCGGAGCCTGACGATGCCTGTTGTATATCTGTAATTCCGCAAGTTCTCTCCTGGTGGTCGCGTGGATTTTTCTCTGGGTTCCTTCAGTATTGCCCTCCACTTTCAGAAGCACGCGTTTACATGACTTCACTGCTCCCCGAAATTCCCACGTGTGATGATATGAGCCACTGCGGTGAGCATTCATGCGTGGCCAGGTATCCTCTGAAACAGAGCTGATAGCTCAGCTTGGCTTCATCTGGTAAGTAAAATGGTACGCAAAAAAAACTGCGCTGTAAACAAATATTATTTTTTAATATATATAAAATCGCAGCTAAGCGTGAAACAGCTTTGCGTTCCACCAAGGTAGCTTCCAGGCGGCTTTTATCCCCAAGGGCCGTGAGAGGCGCCGCACGGCGCACATGGCAACAGCGGCAGAGTGGTTGGCCGCTCTTCACTTGTGAGATTAGAAAATATGTAGATATTCCCATAATTCCTTCATCGGCTTTATAGTGTGTAGGTTGTCAACCTTGTCGGTGGTCACACCTTGAAATGGGGGGGGGGGGGTGGGTGGGGAGGGGGCAGAATTGGCCGAGCGATTGAGCCCGAGGTGGCGAGCTCGTTGTGCGATCGCGACCGTACGACGTTTGATTAGAGAGGGAGCTAAAAATCGCAAAGCTGATTGCGCACGCTTACCAAACAAAAAAACAAGACAATATCGCTCCAGCGTGCGCATCAGCAGCAACCACGGTGTCTGGCGTAATGGCGTGCGTCAAGTGTGTAAAATAGCACCGTCCTACTTCAATGCAAACGCCTTCATTAAGATTCTCTACGTGGGGTCCCTTCTTTTTCTACGCGGCTATTAATAAACTAATGGATTGCTAAAATCACAACGCTTGTCAAAATTAACCCATTATTAACATCAATTAATGTAGGCTCAGCGGGGCGGGATCAGCTGCATCATCTGCACACGCCGGGGAATCAATCAGCGTTGGCACCTGGGGGTCGCGCTCCGAGCGCGAGGGCATTGCGGGTGGCCAGGGCTCGCCGCTGCTGCCACCCCAATGCGCGGTGGGGGAGCGGCGGTGCAGCGGTCCAGCGCACCGAGTTACGGTAACCGGCCACCGGGGTTTCGATTCACGCCGTCGGCCAACGCCGATGACGGTTCGTCTGAACCCCGGTCATGGGCCTCGCCTAGGTCGACGCAGCCTCAAATAGGCCGTTCAGATTTGGCTGCTGTAAAGTGTTTGGCTGTGATATATGTCTACGTGATAAGCCACTTCGTTGAGCGATCATTTGTGGCCAGGTCGCTTCTGAAAAAGAGCTACAGCATAGCTCAGTAGCCCTCACCTGGTAAAATAATAAAAATTGTTGATAGTTTAGTTTAAAATGCGTACCTGGCACGGTATGTAAACATCGCCACTGAGGAGACAAAGACGTTCGGGTGTGGTGTTGACCATCCACCCCCTCTCGTGCCGCATGCTGGCCTTCATAAGCGCGCGCTAACAGCACCTGCCCCAACATACCGTTAAGACTACACGGGGGATCTTTGTCTTTAATGAGCTGTGTGCTCCCAGTTCGGAGGGATAATGTAACAGACAGCCGCGTTTCTCTCTTGTGGAGAAGACAAAGGGACGGTGCTCTGCATCGCTTGGAGACAGGAGGGAAGCTCTACCGCTTGAGTGTGGAAATCGAAAAAAAGACAGTGCCGCAGTTACTCATCTGCCAAACGGGCGTAATGCCGCTCGGATGCAGTGGCCTTGCTGACTGATTGTGAGGCTCCGTTTGTGGGTAGGCACTCGGCAGCACGTACGGGTTTTTTTTTTTGACAAACAAGCCACTCGTTTGAGCCAATCAAGGGAGAGTGGTGTGTGAGCGGTTCAGGGATTTTCAGGCTGTGCGATGTACGGTGACTGACCGTCATCCTGGGGTTACACATGGGCATTAGCTGTGCAGGCTTTCAAGGCAGAACGAATGACGACATGGAATATACGCCGCAATTATTTGTCCTACACCTGAGCGTGACGGCAGCGCTCTGACGCAGCTGTGCCACCAAACTCGGCACTCAGAGGGGCGGCGTCGGTCATTTCCATCTCAGCGCGTGAGCAGGTACGACGTCTAACACTTCACAGACAGCGTGCAGCTAATGCGACTCGTGAGCGCTCTTCGTGTGTCTCTTGAGTCATATGTTTCTGTCTAATGAGACATTGTGGGTTGGCGCTCATAAAGACTTGGAGTTTTGCCAAATAACATGTTTCGCCCATTAACACAGTTGATTCCTGTCATTGTCTCTGTCACCCAGTGATTATTTTGGAACTTTACAATGGTAACGTGGTGTGATAGAACTCAATGCCTCTAGTTACTCTGTTACAAAACTCTGCTCCGGTAGCTCTCATCCGATCGAGCGCGATTCTATAAAACGTCAAACACAGGTGGGCGAAGAAACCACATGCGATCCTGTTTGGGCCTGTGCTGTGTGCTCGGGCCCCAGCTGTTGTAAAACCAGAGCGTAAGAACATTGCGCTGCAGTCGAGATGAGATAAAAACCCAGGCGGTGGAGAGCATTTACTTTACGTTGCAATAAAAGCCCAATTAAACTACTTAAAAAAACTATTTTTTTTATTTTAGCAGTTAAGGCCCATTGAGCCAAATATCTCTTTTTTCAGAAGCGATCTTGCCACAAATGATAGCACCTCAACGAAGTGGCCTATCATTGCGTGGAAATTTACAGGAGCCAAATACTGTAAACGCGCATTGCTTCTCAATGTGAAGGGAAAAACCGGAAGACCCAGAGATAAAATCCACGCATTGGGGTGCCGATTGGGGGTCCTGGAGAAAAATCCACGCATTGGGGTCCCGATTGGGGGTCCTTGAGAAAAATCCACGCATTAGGGTGCCGATTGGGCCACCCGGAAAAAAAAAATCCACGCATCAGGGCCAGATTGGGGGGGACCTGCAGAAAAATCCACGCATTGGGGTCCCATCGCGGGACCCTGAGAAAAATCCACGCATTGGGACCCAACGGGAAAACGGCTTGAGCAGAAGCTCACACACAAGGCGCGTCCGCCGTTTATAACGCCGCGTCGGCGCAACCCAACTCCGAGTTTTCCGGCGCGGCGCTCTCTCACCGGTCGTCTCGACGATGCCCTCGAGGATGACGACGATCTCGAATTGCTCCGTCTGCATGGAGCGATAGGAGAGCTCGTAGAAGGGGCTGTTGGTGTCGATGACGTGGCAGATGGTGAGGGGCGACACCAGAAACAGCTGATCGGCGCCCGTGCCGAATCCCACGTCCAGCTCCAGCTGATCCAGCGGCAGGAACTCGCCCTCGGGCGTCTGCCGCGACTGCCCGCCCGGCCACGCGCGCACACGGCAGGGGTCTCGTTACGGTCGCGCGGACGCTCGCAGGTAAGACTCCGGCAGGGCTCGGAACGCGTTCTCTACGCCTTCTTGTTTACCCAGCAACAAATAACTTTAACAAAAAACTTTTTTTTTTGTTAAGCATTTTTTTTTGTCGTCGTTTACAGAACCCAGAATGCAGGTGGGAAATTTTAAAAAAGGAAGGGTAAAAAAACAAAAACAACAGGTAACGTGTAACAAGCTAGGTGCGTAACGCACCCTCGGAATTAGGGAATGACCGAGGGCGCCCAGGCTGGCTGCCCAAACCGCAGGTGGGAGTGACGATTGGGAGGCAGTGAATGTAAGTTGAGCGGGGAGGGGAGATGAGAGAATGGGAGAAAAGGGAGTGGAGAGGTAATGTAACCAAACAGACCCCCCCCCCCCAAAAAAAAAACCGCGATGTCCAAGTTTGTCAATGTTGTGACCTCCAAGGAGTAACGGTTACAGTACCCAGAGTTGAACTCAGCAATCACTGGCGATATCATGGGACCTTGTTTGCCAGTATTGACAGCTGTGTTAAATATTTTTAAACGCCAAATAGGCACCTTTTGCAAGCAATCGAGTCTGCATTAACCACACGCACTTGTGGCGAACATGCAAACAAACATCTCTTATAATGTGTGCATTGTCTTTGAAACGCAATGTCTCTGGTGTCGGCCAACCAGTTTCAAAGACAATGCGTATATCATAAGAGCGTGTTTGTTTTCATGCTTCGACACAAGCACAGGCGCTTCATGCAGACTCGATTGCTTGCAAAAGGTGCCTATTTGGCGTTTGAACATCTTAACACCTCCTGTTTTACTGTCGGAAAGGGTTCAACCTATTCGTAGTTTTCACACTCCAGCAAAAAACTTTTACCGGCACACATCTCCACTGCAACGAAGGTCGTTTACGGCGAATCTTTACATTTTATTTCGCGTTCAGTGTGGCTTTGCCTCGAGCATGCATTGTTTTTTTTATAGTGACTTTACCGAAAGAATCAAGAATATGTCTTGGGCTCTGCCAATTAAATTAAGTCTGCTGTTTTCACCTTGTGCTTATGTGTGGTACCTGCTCTGTCAAGTGCAGCAACTGCGGGGTGTTTCACACGGGCAGTGGGCTTTGCCTGGTAGGATGGGGATGGCTTAGTTTAATTTGTTTGTGTTTGGGTGATTTGTTTACCTCTCTTGCACTATGCACTCCTATCTTGTTTTAGTAACAGTTTGTTGTTGCAACGTTCTTACCCGGCCCCTACTTTGATAAATAAATATCCTGATTTTTGAAAGAAGAAAAAAAACTGCAATCTCACTGCGCAGTTGACGTCTGCAGGCAAGTCGCCCGTCAGAGAATGTGTCACAGATGACGCATTCACTCTCGTTGCCTTTAAAGCGAGGGAAATGTAAACTGACAAATGTTAATATAATAACAGTTTTTTTGGGGGGGGGTGAGATCGCGTAAATGTAAATGTGCCGTTAAACCCGCCACCACCCGACACAGCCAATTCGCAAGGTTTGCCACGTAAACAAAACGTGCCAATGAGTGACGACTTCAGCACAACCGGTGTGTTGGAGAGCAAAACCCACGACCTTTACAATTTGAGTACGACTTACAAATATTCTGCCAAGGCGTACGCCAACACTTTGAAAATGTAACTTGACGCGAATATACTTAGCTTGAACACTTCAACATATCTCCTGCGGCTGGAGACCACAATTGTTCTATTATCATCTTCAATAGCAGTAGACCGCATGGGGAACAAGTGACTGATGATAATAATTAAATGCCGGATGGCCCAATTCGGTATAAGGCAAGCCTCTGAAGGGATCTATGTGCAACGTGATGAATGCATTGTGGACACAAAACAGCGGTGTCATTGAGTCACCCTCACGGAGACAGCCAATAATTGGGTCTGCTGGCTCCACCAGGTCCGGTCGAGTCATCAGAATTTCGTAACCCCCCCCCCCCCCCCCCCCTTTCGGACGGGTAGGAACATTGCAGGCGGCTACGGAGAGATAAATGAGCCACTGATGCATTCGTCCATTTCGCTAAAGACTTATGGCTCCCCCGGGTTCCGCGGCAGGGCGATGTGAAGGTGCACGGTGGGGGTGGAGATCACTGCGGGTGGATGGGGCGCCACTGGCAGCCAGCCGTAAATCAGGGGGCGACACGCGCGCGCACACACAATGCGTTTACTGCCGAATGGCGAATTCCCAAGCAATATACACACGATGACAATTGTCTCAAACAAATACCGCGCAGAAAATTAAATTGCATTCCCTCCGAAGCTTTTGGCCGGCATCGGTTTGTTAAATGTATCGGGCATTTCGCGTCCAATTGCTCGGTTGGCCGAGCATTCTATCCGTCATGGGGCACACGGCTATGGCATTGCTTAATTTATACATCACCCCCCCCCCCCCCCCCCGCTCCTTGCGCATCGCACGAATGAATCTTTGTTGGAAATGCGTGATTACAGCGTAGTTATATTCTTGGTTCTTTCGGTAAAGTCACGTAGAAGGGAAACAATAAAATAATAAAATAATATTTTATTGTTTCCCTTCTAATAAAAATATATATTATTGTTTCCCTTCTACGTGACTTTACCGAAAGAACCAATAACATGAATCCCTGCAGTCACGAAAGCTTTAAATCAAAATTTTACAGCGTAGTTACTTGCTCCGGTACGGTATTGGTGTGGCGTGCAGATTCATTTGCTTTGTGTTAGTTCATGGGAACGAGCTTCGTCACCTGCCCCAAATAATGTAAAACATTTTCTGAGACTGATGCAATTGAGACAAAACACGAGTATGTACCGACGTGTGAAATTGCAATATGTGTCCTATTGGTTTTGGTTGCAAGATTTCATATTCGAGAACGGTTTTAGGGCCAGCCCAAACTTTCTGTTCCCAGGTATTGTGCGGATACAACTCTTAACATGATTAGGATGCCAATGTCACGTCAAGATAAGCCCCCCAAAAAAATACATCCGAAGAAGACCAGACTTCACACAAAACGTGAAATCCCCGAGATGGGTTTAATCGAAAAGAGGGCTTCGTGAGGACAGAAAGTGCCGGGCCCAGTCATGGCGAGGACAGCAGATTGGTTTGTTTGCCAAATAGACAGCTGTTTAAGTTAATTAACTTTTTGTCTCTAATTAAAAACGTATATGTATCTTTTAGAATGACGCTCTAGTTTCAATGTAAAGCTTTCGTGACTGCAAGGATTCATCTTTTTTGGTTCTTTCGGTAAAGTCACGTAGAATGAGAATAAAATAATAAAATAAAATAAGACAATAAAATTCTCACGACGTTTCGGCCACAACACAAGTAGCCTTCATCAGGTGAAAGAACATAACTGTCGGGACGACAGTGCTTCAATGGAAGCACTGATTGAAGCACTGTCATCCCGACAGTTCTGTTATTTCACCTGATGAAGGCTACTTGTGTTGTGGCCGAAACGTCGTGAGAATTTTATTGTCTTATTTAATTTTATTATTTTATTCTCATTCTACGTGACTTCATCGAAAGAACCAAAGAAGACGCTCTAGTTGCCATAAACTTGACAAGAACACACGAGAAGTACCCTCTCAATCACAGCTAATGTTGTGTTTTTAATCAAATTATTCTATATTGGGTGCGGGTAAATGCATTGGAAAGTAAAAAACGTCGAGCCTGGGATGTTTGGTTCGAGCCGAGTTCCGACACCCACATTTAAAACAAAGCCTCGGGTAGGATCTCAAAAGTGACATCACTCCGTGTGCCCTGCTCAAAGCACGCGTAGGGCTGTTACTCAATTCCGCATGATTGCGCGTGGAATTTCCACGTTCCAATGGGTGGGGATCATCATATATGGTACAAAACTAATTTCCTGCCCGCACAGCGATTCCAGTAATTTATAGGCGCCCGGAGGCACGTTTGGTTGATTTGAACCCCGTGATTCCATTTGCCCTCCCGCTACCGCTTGCGGGTTGCGCGCTCGAAGCACAACGACCGAGAAGAGGAGGAAGAGAGAAAACCTCGACCAGTGAGAGTGTCCCCCAGCTCGCTCTAAACGAGGGCGGCACGAGCTCGCGAGATGAAGTCGCCACCGACTCAGCTCCAGAACCGCAGCGTTGGGGGGGGGGTGGGCGCGCGGGAGTGGTGCGAGCTGAGCCCCATCCCCCTACTCAAGGCCCAGACATCCCCTTCTATATTCGTAGTCATGTCAAGACATATGCTTGGTTCTTTCGGTAAAGTCACGTAAATAGAAAACAAAAAATAGAAGCAAAAATAAAACTCCACGACGTTTCGATCGCAACACAAGCGATCTTCATCGGGCGGAGAGAATAAAGTCAAGACATATCGGTGCCCTAGAAACATAGAGTGGTGGTGGTGGGGGGGGGGCTGGAGTAGAACGCACGACAGACACACGCGCGTCACATCGTGACTCATTCCGTTGAGGGTCACCAACATTTGTTGAAAGTTTGTTTAGCGTCCACTCTGTCGCCCCACCTCCCCTCAACCGCCCCCCTCACTATTCAAACAACCTCGCGCTGCCGTGTTTACTCACCCTGAGCAGCTTGCAGCGGATCTGCGCCGACACCATGTGGCTGTTGCGCAGGTTCCCGACGCGGAACATGAGACAGAGTCTCCCGTCGCGCATCGAGATGACCGCGCTCTCGCTGAACATGAGCGTCTCGGCGCGCTTCTTGGGCTGCGACATCTTGATGAACATGCAGCCCACGAGGAAGGCGTCCACGATGGAGCCGAGCAGCGACTGGAAGAGGAAGAGGAGGATGCCCTCGGGGCACCGCTCCGTGATGTAGCGGTGGCCGTAGCCGATGGTGGCCTCCGTCTCGATGAAGAAGAGGAAGGCCGACGGGAAGTTGTAGACGTTGGCGACGCATGGCGTGTAATCCGCGTCGCGCGCGATGTCCATGTCTCCGCGCACGTAGGCGATGAGCCACCAGAATCCGGCCATCACGAGCCACGCCACGGTGTAGGTGAGGATGAAGATGAGCAGGTTCCAGCGCCACTTGAGGTCGACGAGCGTGGTGAAGATGTCGGAGATGTATCGGCCCGTCTCGCCGCTCACGTTGCCGTGCTGCACGTTGCAGCGGCCGTTCTTGGCGACGAAGCGTTGCCTCTTTTTCTTCTTCTTGAAGTCCGTGCCGCGACCTCCTCGGCCTCCGACGCCCCCGGGCCCGCTCACTACGCTAGACACCACCTGATACTCCTCCACGGATCGTCTGCAGAACAGGGACATGCTTGAGGCGTCGCTGCTGGGGAGAAGTGGGGGAGGGGGGCGAGCGGGGGTGGGGGGGTGGTGGAACCGTTCCGACTACAGCCGTGCGTTCTGGGGGTTCTGTGCCGAGGCCGCTTAGGCGCCGTCGCCGTTGATGCTGCTGCTGCTGCTGAAGCTTGCGGTGGTGCCTCTCGTGAAGAGCCAGGTGATGTGTCTTCGAGATGACTTCCTCCGAATCCTCGATCTCACCATCTCGCACACGTGACAACCGTGGCCCTTGTGTTGTTGTTGTTGTTGTTGTGTGTGTGTTTTATCCCAAAGGGTCCGTCGTTCCGTTGTTTTGTTTGTTTGGTTAAAAAAAAAGTGCGACTGCTCGCAATGGAAAGCGGGCGAAATGAGCCCGCCGTGTGAGTGGTGTGAGGGAGAGAGCAGAGGAACAGCGCTGAGTATGAGGCGTGGAGGAGGAGTGGTTCGTGCGGGTGGGAATGTGTGGGGGGAGGTGATGGTGGCTGGGGAGGAGCGCTGGGCGGGCCTTGGTGCTGAAATGGACAGCGTCTCGGCAAGGGCTCAGTGCCCATTACATAACACGCCCCGTGCTGATCCGAGACGTGACCGCGCTGCGCCTTTAAGCCAACGGAGCAATGCAATCGGAACGAGGGTTTCTGGAGCGGTGGGTCGCGTCCTCTCCCTGTGTGCGCGCGCGCGCTTTAAGGCTTCTCCACGCGCTATGCGGTGTGACAAAGGAAAGGCAGATTCGATATTAATTCAGGCACGGGAAATTATGTAAATGGAGCATGTTTTGCCCGGACAATGCAAGAGGAACGATGTCGGTGTTTGTCCGTGCCGATATCTTTGTAGCAGATTTGCTTCGGCTCGTGGTGTCCGTGTGTTTTTGATGTAGATTATTCCAGAAGAGACGCATTCGTACCGCCATAGGGAAGTACAATTAACAAAACGAGATCGCCTGATCTTCCTTCCCAAGAAATTGGCATTTTGAATGAGAGATGATAAATAAATGAAACTAAAATAGTGTAAATGCTTGTAATTACAGAGCACCAGGTTGCTTAAAGTTAGTCTTTGTATGCCTGCTCCTTAACTTCTGAAGCTGCATTGCACACATTTCTGTCTGGTACGGTATATTTTTGTTACAAGTGAGTGTTAACAGTGGTGTATTATCAGTTTGGAGGATTATCGGATGATTTTCAAAACAAAACAACCACGAAAGTAGACTGAAGTAAGAAAATACGAAATACTCAATAAATCTGGAAAAGGAGGTTCACCGATTACATAAGGTACTGTTACAAAAAATGTAAGTGAACAATAGGAAAGCTAAACGTGTTGGGATCAAGATAAATAAATATGATCAAAGCTAATTCTGTGTACAACAAGTTCACTCGACATGATGACGTCAACAAGTTCACTCGACATGAAGACGTCAACAAGTTCACTCGACATGAAGACGTCAACAAGTTCACTCGACATGACGTCAACAAGTTCACTCAACATGAAGACGTCAACAAGTTCACTCAACATGAAGACGTCAACAAGTTCACTCAACATGACGTCAGCAAGTTCACTCGACATGACGTCAGCAAGTTCACTCAACATGAAGACGTCAACAAGTTCACTCAACATGAAGACGTCAACAAGTTCACTCGACATGAAGACGTCAGCAAGTTCACTCAACATGACGTCAACAAGTTCACTCAACATGAAGACGTCAACAAGTTTACTCAACATGACGTCAGCAAGTTCACTCGACATGAAGACGTCAACAAGTTCACTCAACATGATGACGTCAACAAGTTCACTCAACATGAAGACGTCAGCAAGTTCACTCAACATGACGTCAACAAGTTCACTCAACATGACGTCAACAAGTTCACTCAACATGAAGACGTCAACAAGTTCACTCAACATGACGTCAACAAGTTCACTCAACATGAAGACGTCAACAAGTTCACTCAACATGACGTCAACAAGTTCACTCAACATGACGTCAACAAGTTCACTCAACATGAAGACGTCAACAAGTTCACTCGACATGAAGACGTCAACAAGTTCACTCGACATGACGTCAACAAGTTCACTCGACATGAAGACGTCAACAAGTTCACTCGACATGTAGACGTCAACAAGTTCACTCGACATGACGTCAACAAGTTCACTCAACATGAAGACGTCAACAAGTTCACTCAACATGACGTCAACAAGTTCACTCAACATGAAGACGTCAACAAGTTCACTCAACATGAAGACGTCAACAAGTTCACTCGACATGAAGACATCAACAAATTCACTCAACATGACGTCAACAAGTTCACTCGACATGACGTCAACAAGTTCACTCAACATGAAGACGTCAACAAGTTCACTCGACATGACGTCAGCAAGTTCACTCAACATGAAGACGTCAACAAGTTCACTCGACATGAAGACGTCAACAAGTTCACTCAACATGACGTCAACAAGTTCACTCAACATGACGTCAACAAGTTCACTCAACATGAAGACGTCAGCAAGTTCACTCAACATGAAGACGTCAACAAGTTCACTCAACATGACGTCAACAAGTTCACTCAACATGAAGACGTCAGCAAGTTCACTCAACATGATGACGTCAACAAGTTCACTCAACATGAAGACGTCAACAAGTTCACTCAACATGACGTCAACAAGTTCACTCAACATGACGTCAACAAGTTCACTCAACATGAAGACGTCAACAAGTTCACTCAACATGAAGACGTCAACAAGTTCACTCAACATGACGTCAACAAGTTCACTCAACATGAAGACGTCAACAAGTTCACTCGACATGAAGACGTCAACAAGTTCACTCGACATGACGTCAACAAGTTCACTCGACATGAAGACGTCAACAAGTTCACTCGACATGTAGACGTCAACAAGTTCACTCGACATGACGTCAACAAGTTCACTCAACATGAAGACGTCAACAAGTTCACTCAACATGACGTCAACAAGTTCACTCAACATGACGTCAGCAAGTTCACTCAACATGACGACGTCAACAAGTTCACTCAACATGACGTCAACAAGTTCACTCAACATGAAGACGTCAACAAGTTCACTCAACATGAAGACGTCAACAAGTTCACTCAACATGACGTCAACAAGTTCACTCAACATGACGTCAACAAGTTCACTCAACATGAAGACGTCAACAAGTTCACTCAACATGAAGACGTCAGCAAGTTCACTCAACATGACGTCAACAAGTTCACTCAACATGACGTCAACAAGTTCACTCAACATGAAGACGTCAACAAGTTCACTCAACATGACGTCAGCAAGTTCACTCAACATGAAGACGTCAACAAGTTCACTCAACATGAAGACGTCAACAAGTTCACTCGACATGAAGACGTCAACAAGTTCACTCAACATGACGACGTCAACAAGTTCACGCAACATGATGACGTCAACAAGTTCACTCAACATGATGACGTCAACAAGTTCACTCAACATGAAGACGTCAGCAAGTTCACTCAACATGACGTCAACAAGTTCACTCAACATGACGTCAGCAAGTTCACTCAACATGAAGACGTCAACAAGTTCACTCGACATGAAGACGTCAACAAGTTCACTCAACATGACGTCAACAAGTTCACTCAACATGAAGACGTCAACAAGTTCACTCGACATGAAGACGTCAACAAGTTCACTCGACATGACGTCAACAAGTTCACTCAACATGACGTCAACAAGTTCACTCAACATGAAGACGTCAACAAGTTCACTCAACATGACGTCAACAAGTTCACTCGACATGAAGACGTCAGCAAGTTCACTCAACATGACGTCAACAAGTTCACTCGACATGTAGACGTCAACAAGTTCACTCGACATGACGTCAACAAGTTCACTCGACATGTAGACGTCAACAAGTTCACTCGACATGACGTCAACAAGTTCACTCAACATGAAGACGTCAACAAGTTCACTCAACATGACGTCAACAAGTTCACTCAACATGACGTCAACAAGTTCACTCAACATGAAGACGTCAACAAGTTCACTCAACATGAAGACGTCAACAAGTTCACTCGACATGACGTCAACAAGTTCACTCAACAAGACGTCAACAAGTTCACTCAACAAGACGTCAACAAGTTCACTCGACATGAAGACGTCAACAAGTTCACTCAACATGACGTCAACAAGTTCACTCAACATGACGTCAACAAGTTCACTCAACATGAAGACGTCAACAAGTTCACTCAACATGAAGACGTCAACAAGTTCACTCAACATGACGTCAACAAGTTCACTCGACATGACGTCAACAAGTTCACTCAACATGAAGACGTCAACAAGTTCACTCGACATGACGTCAACAAGTTCACTCAACATAAAGACGTCAACAAGTTCACTCGACATGAAGACGTCAACAAGTTCACTCAACATGACGTCAACAAGTTCACTCAACATGACGTCAACAAGTTCACTCAACATGAAGACGTCAGCAAGTTCACTCAACATGAAGACGTCAACAAGTTCACTCAACATGACGTCAACAAGTTCACTCAACATGAAGACGTCAGCAAGTTCACTCAACATGATGACGTCAACAAGTTCACTCAACATGAAGACGTCAACAAGTTCACTCAACATGACGTCAACAAGTTCACTCAACATGACGTCAACAAGTTCACTCAACATGAAGACGTCAACAAGTTCACTCGACATGACGTCAACAAATTCACTCAACATGAAGACGTCAACAAGTTCACTCAACATGAAGACGTCAACAAGTTCACTCAACAAGACGTCAACAAGTTCACTCGACATGACGTCAACAAGTTCACTCAACATGAAGACATCAGCAAGTTCACTCAACATGAAGACGTCAACAAGTTCACTCAACATGACGTCAGCAAGTTCACTCGACATGACGTCAACAAATTCACTCAACATGAAGACGTCAAGAAGTTCACTCGACAGGAAGACGTCAACAAGTTCACTCAACATGACGTCAACAAGTTCACTCGACAAGACGTCAACAAGTTCACTCGACATGAAGACGTCAGCAAGTTCTCTCAACATGAAGACGTCAACAAGTTCTCTCAACATGACGTCAACAAGTTCACTCAACATGAAGACGTCAACAAGTTCACTCGACATGAAGACATCAACAAGTTCACTCAACATGACGTCAACAAGTTCACTCGACATGACGTCAACAAGTTCACTCAACATGAAGACGTCAACAAGTTCACTCGACATGACGTCAGCAAGTTCACTCAACATGAAGACGTCAACAAGTTCACTCGACATGAAGACGTCAACAAGTTCACTCAACATGACGTCAACAAGTTCACTCAACATGACGTCAACAAGTTCACTCAACATGAAGACGTCAGCAAGTTCACTCAACATGAAGACGTCAACAAGTTCACTCAACATGACGTCAACAAGTTCACTCAACATGAGACGTCAGCAAGTTCACTCAACATGATGACGTCAACAAGTTCACTCAACATGAAGACGTCAACAAGTTCACTTAACATGACGTCAACAAGTTCACTCAACATGAAGACGTCAACAAGTTCACTCGACATGACGTCAACAAATTCACTCAACATGAAGACGTCAACAAGTTCACTCAACATGAAGACGTCAACAAGTTCACTCAACATGACGTCAA